TCTCTCTCTCTCACACTCTCTCTCTCTCGCACGCTGTCTCTCTGCATAATGCATTTGGTCAAATTCGTGTTTGTACATTTTTTATACTCATAGTATAGGTTAGTGGACTTGCATAATTGTCTTAAAATTCAACTTTTACTTACCCGCCAAAACGTATTCCCCAGAGCCTTTGAAGGTTTGAGATATTAGGGCAAATTTAGAATACCAATTGGGTCAACATTTTTACACTTAGGTTCTGTCTCTCAAAAACTGTCTTGGTCTTGTATAATAGTTCCTGAAAATATACCAATGAATTGAATGTTTACTTGTAATTGACATAATTCAAACTAAAAAAAGTGTGTCTTTTTAATGTTGTACTTATTGTTTTATCTGTTGTGGTCATCATTTTTTACTTTTTACCAGTTTAGGAATACTGGCGACGTACGTAATTATTAATTAATTAGAAATTGGGCACGCATGCAAAGCATAATATATCTCCTTGAAAAACGAGAGTGGCAGAAGTCGAATTGCGTGGGCAGATCTGCCTGCTGATTTTAAGCTTCAGTGTTGAAGTGCCTTTTGTATACTGGATTGTTCTTTGACACTTGTTGTCGTTGTGCTGCCAGAATTGTCAATGGTGCTGTAAAATGTATACTCAATGAATGAAACGAACACTGCTAGCTGTTTCTTTGACTTTTGACCTTCTGTGATAGGTACTCTGATATCACCAGTTGGTCTGGAGGACAGCCTACAGGATCACCTGTGGGACTAAGACAGTCAATAAGAAGTGATGAATGATGGTCAGCCTCAGAAGGTAATTGTCTTTGAAATGTCTTGCAACTCCACTCTTTGAGTTTAGATATAATGTTACTAATTATTTCTGTATTAAAACTTCAAGAATAATGATTGGTGGGTGAGTAAGCTTCCTTTTTGCCTTTAGGCGTTTCTCAAAAACTGCCCCTAATTATCTGGGTCCTGAAAATATACCTAAACATTATAATTTTCTTATGATATATGTAGTTCAAACAAATACTGTACACAATAAAGTACCTTCAGTGTCACTGCCTTATACGTTAGAGGAAAGATCGAACATTTGCGTTGATAGTTCTGGCTTTAAATGTGATTTTTCAAATTTAGACTTCTCTCAAAATCCTGCACTTTTCATATTATTAACCTACTTTTAACTACGTCTGTACGACCTATTTCTGTAATATTTTTACATTGAACTGTATAGATGTAAGATAATTTTCTGATACGTTTTCTTTACCAGGACCGCCTACAAACATGGAGGATTATCGGTAAGACTGGAAGAGCTGAGGTCTGCCCTCAGGACCGGGGGACGTCCTGTTGGATCAGAGGACCACCTGCAGGATGGGAGGACCGGGGCACAGCCTACAGGACCACCTACATGACTTGAAGACGACCAATAAGAAGTGATGAATGATCGTCTCCCTCAGAAGGTAATTGTCTTTGAAATATGCCAGATTCAGAATTTTCTCTATTGATGCATGGTTTCTTTACAAGGACTGCCTACAAACCTAGAGGAATATCTGTAGGACTGGACGACCGGAAAACCGTTTGCAAGGCAGAATATTTTTAATATTTTAGCATTTTGGTGGAGGTGTTAACCAGAGTCGGGGTGTAGATTGTACTTATTTTTCAGCCTGTAATGGTCATGTCTTTCTTTTCATACCAGCATAGGAATACTGGTACGGCACTTTTTAAATGACTAAAAGGTGGACACAATGTAGGGTTTATACCTTTGCTTTAAGAGCAAAACTTCCTTTCTGAGTCTCATACTTTTATTCTTTACTATTCAGCTTATGTAAATAGAATGTGCTGCATTTAAAGAATCACATATCAAATATTATATATACTCCAACAAGAATGTGCTTAAACTTCAAATGTAATAATTCAAACTGTTTTCCCTTTGAATTAATTTTTCTCAGATTACCGTCACTCATCAGACTTTTCGGCCAGAAGGCACTGGTGTTATCAGTAAGTCTACCGCAGAAGGTAAAAGGTCAAATAAACAGCTCGTAGTGTTTGTTTGATCCATTTTTTGAGTATACATTATACAGCATCATTGAAACAGTAATGGCAGTGCAGCACCAACAAGCCGCAAAGAACAAGCTAGTATGCAAAAATCACTTCCAACACTCAAGCTCAAAATCATTAGGCACCGCTTCCCACCCAATTCTACTTTTGTCACCCCCTTCCTCCTTTAAAAGACCCCAACCTACACTGCTGTGGCCCTGTAAGGATAGGTTGATAGGGAGCTAGGTGGACAGGCTAGGTTCAGAGTAGAATTTTGTAGATTGTATTGCCATGGCCATGGCGGGAGGGAGTTGAGGGGGTAGTGTAGGACTTTTCCTTTTTTTGTGGGTAGGGGGGGGGGAGGGTCGGGAGAGTGAGTGGGGCGGCAGGGGTAGATTGAATCTTTTCAGGGGGAAGGGGTTGGCAGGAGTAGAACCTGCTGGGAAGTGCTGCTCGCTGATTTTCAACTTGAGTGTTGAAGTTACTTTTGTACACTGGATGTTTTTTGTAGGTTGTTGGTGTTGAACTGTTAAAATTGTATCAGTGCTGTTGTAAAATGTATACTCAGCGGATCAAGCAAACACTGCCAGCTGTTCCTTTGGCATTTGACCTTCCTGTGGTAGGTGCTCTGATACCACCAGTAGGACAGGACAGCCTATAGGATCACCTATGCGACTGGAAGACCGCAAATACGAAGTGATGAATGATGGGCAGCCTGAGAAGGTAATTGTCTTTGACATATTTCTTGCAATTCAACTCACTGACTTATAAAGAAATTATGTAACATATTATTTATGGACTAACTAAATGAATATTCTTTGGTGCGTGAGAAAGTTTCATTTTTTTCTTTCATCACACTGGATCATTCAGGGCCGGAGGGCTGCCTACATCACTGGAGGACTTTCTATTTCCCCTGTGTTTGAAAGTCGAAGTGATGAATGATGATCAACCTCAGTAAGTATTTGTTTTTAAAAGATGATTTGAAACACTATTGGCTGAGACATTAATCTCCAATTAGGACATTATTTAATGGGTCCTACAAATATTCCGAAGAGTTGAACTTTAGTTTATTATAAATGCAATTTAAATATAAACTGTTTTATGATATTGGTCGCTTCAGAATCTTTGCCTTATGTTATTCAATGTCACTAGAGCATTTTTAAAATTTGCTTTGGTGGCTCTTGCTTTAAATCATGTGATTTTTGCCTTTTGGCCTCCTGCCTTTTATTACTTTTCTGCCAGTAAAGAGAATGCTTTTATCCTTTGAAACTAAATAAAACGAAGCAGATGGTAAATATTTTTTTTATCGACACCTGTATATTATCGAATGTTATTATCCTAGGATACTAAATAAAACACAAAGTGCCGTAAAACACCCACTCAATCATTCAAGCTTTGACACATTGTACTCAATCAATCAATCTTTAACACTTTGTTTTCATCACCAGGACTACCTACAGCACCGGTTGATCGCCTACAGGACCAGAAGTTTGTCCATATCCACTGTATCGAGAAACAAGAAGTGTTGTAGGAAGATCAGCCCTTGAAGGTATTTCTTTGAAAGATGTCTTGGCCTACTAAGACATTTAAATAAGAATTAGAATACCCAATGCTAGGTCAACTTGAACGTTTCATTTTTACCTTTAGGTTTCTCTCAACACTGCCACTGGACCTGTCTAATGGCTCCTGAAAATAGACCTACGAATGTTGCTCGTAATTGACGTATTTCAAACTGAAACAATAGATGTTTGCCTCAGTGCCATTTGAATGTTGTATTTCTTTTTACTACTTAGTTTATGTACATAGAATGTGCTGCATTTAAACAATCACGTATCAAATAATTTAGAAGCTCTAATATGAACGTGCTTAAACTCAAAATTTAATCATCAAACTGATTTCCCTTTGAATTTATTTGTCTCAGATTACCGTCACTCATCGGACTTTTCGGCTAGAAGGCACTGGTGCTATCAGTAAGTCTACCACAGAAGGTAAAAGGTCAAATAAACAGCTCATAGTGTTTGCTTGATCCATTTTTGAGTAGGCATTTTCCAGCATCATTGAAACAGTATTGGCAGTGCAGCACCAAGAAGCTGCAAAGAACAAGCCAGTATGCAAAATTCACTTCCAACAGTCAAGCTCAAAATCGTTAGGTAGCTCTTCCCACCCT